ATCTTCCACGGAGCAGAAAATCAAAGTTGGCTTCAGAAATAACCTAGGCTTGTTTTTAACCATTTGAAACTATTTGCAACTCACCTATTCCTCAAGATGTTAAAGAATTATTTATTTTTATTAAAGTGAATTATCATATTCCCTAAATTAACCCCAAAAGGGGACTGTTGTATCCTGTTTCAATTTTCTTTTTGTGTTAACTGTCCCTTAGGCAGAGATGACTCACATTCCAAGTTCCTGTGTATTTGCCCTTATACCTTTTACACATGATACCAAATCACCATGCTAAAGGTATCACAGCACCTGTGTAATGAACCCAGCCTCTGTCAGATAAGCACAATCCGTTGTGCATTTTCTGCATTTATAGCCAGGGACAAGTTGTACCCAGGCACAGTGGGTTTGCATCTGGATCAGTGCAGAGCCAAAAGGCACAATGAGGTGATAAAGGGGTGGAGAAAGATTTATTTACCTGCAGCAGTTAAGAAGAGAACTGGGATTGTTTCCAAAGCCAAACTCCCTGAGAAAGGGGAGCATGCAGGTTCTATTCTGGGTTCCCACACATATTCCTACAGGGAAGCATTTCAGAGTGGCTTAGTAACCTTGGCTGGTTTTCTGCGAGTTGGTTGGTTTCCAGAGTCTTAGCTGAAACAAAAAGATAGGACAGCTCTGCAGGTGCAGTAATGTAGGAGTTTGACTCAAAAGTGTCTGCCTCACTTAGTGGCTAAAACATTAAGAGTTCAGTTGAGTTATGTTGGATGTCCTAAGCCATAGGGGCCCGACCAGTCCTCTTCCGAATGTGGTCAGTGGGTGACAGAGAACGAGACGCCATATGCCCAAGAACAAGAGGAAAAAATCACTCTAGAGAATTTATAGAGTTGCTTGGCACAGACATAGATTACAACCAGGGGGCACTGGGAATGAGAGAAGGACTACAGGATGGAGAAGACAGACGTGAGTGTGGTGTCTTTGGGATGGGGCAGCCCACTGCACTGGGTGTGACCTACACACGCACCAGTTGTGACTGACGCTCAAACAGAGGTTCAGGTGGCTGCTTCTCACCCCTGAGACACTTCTGCACTGGCTGTCACCATTGTTTGGCCTCTTCTTCAGGGCCCTCCTCATACATAGGTCCCTTCACAGGGGACTAAGATGTCACCCATCAGCTAAGGGTACTTTTGCTCAGTTCAGATAGAAATCACAAGTGGGCAAAGCACACAGCTTTTCAGTATTAACAGCTCTGAGCTTTGAATGCCAGCAGCTATCAGCTCTTGGGGTTCAGCCAGGGCCAGCAGCCACCTGCAATGTTTGGGGACTCTGCTGTCACCAGAGGCGCTGCTCCTGGCAAATCTCATGGCTCTCCTCTGTTCTCTGGAGCTGGCTGCCTTCAATGTCACCACCCTCGGCTGCTGGCCTTTTCAGGTGTTACCAGCTTGGCTGTCTCTACTCAAGACAGAAATCATGAATAGGCAAAAGTACACCATGTGGAAGAGGCCTTCTAATGCTGCAGTGTAAGGGGGAGCAGTAGACCAACCTGCAAAGGGGGTGGAGGAGGTTGGTGTATGAAGGAACAAGACGAGCTCATGCATGCACCACGTCGGGCTTGCTGTTTACACACAGGTGGTGGAGGGGCTTCTCATGTATCCGGCTGAGGATGGCTACAGAGGGCAGAGTCACCTGAGGTACACACCTGTGACCCCAACCTGCTTCTCTTTCCCAGAGAGGCTTCAGGGAGTCTGATGTAGCCATGGCCAGGAGCAAGATATACGGGGCAGCACGGAAGAAAAAGTACTCTTATGAAAAGTTCTCTTGGGAAATGTCGGGCCTTTCTCTCCTACCTCAATCTGATAAATCACATTTATAAAAAAAGCCCTGGGGCCGGGGATTTAGCTCAGTGGTTTCTCAGCCTGCTGTGCAAGTGCAAGGACCTGAGTTCGACCCCTGGTACCAAAAAAAAAAAGTCTTAACCAAGTGAAGAAAAGTAGCGTCCTCCTTGTGGAAGGGGGAGCCGGTGTACATGCAGCACTTGCTACACATAAGGCTCAGTTTCTGGCACTCCGCTTGTTCAACTTGGGAAAGATGTCAGCTCCCCCTGAACATTAGACCTACAGGTCAAGGCCTGAAGGAGTAGCTCAATCCCAGAGTGCTTGCCTAGCATTGTGAGGCCCTGAGTTTGAACCCCAGCATGGGGGGGCGGGGAATGAAAGGAGGAAAGAAAGAAAAGGAAAGGAAAGAATTTTTTTCAATATCTTTTGGAATTCAGATTCTAAAATTTACAGATTTCTTTTTTTGGAGGGGTACCAGGGATCAAACTTGGGACCTTTCGCTTGCAAGGCAGATGGCAGAACCACTGAGCTAAATCCCTGGCCCCAGATTCTAAAATTTGTAGAGAAGAATAAAGAGCCAAGTGTAGCCAAGACATTCTAGAAGTAGCAATAGAAGTTAGAGGGCCATGTCTTATTAGATATCAAGAGCTATAACAAGGCTATTGCAACAAAGACAGGGTGGTATTGATATAGGATAAGAACTGACAATGAAATGAAATACGGAAATGGCTTTCTGGAAACTTGGCAGATGATAGAAGTAACATTGCAGATCCACAGAGAAAATATGGAGCACTGAATCTACAGTGCTGGGACTGGTGGTCCAAGCCAATGTGCATAAATTCAACCATTGCCTCCAATACACACAGCAATCAATTCCTGATAGATTAGACTTAAATATGACAAAACTTAAAACTCTCAGAATAAAATGTGAGCAAGTATTTTTATCATATCATACCGAAAAGGGTTTCCTTAGTTAGGCAACAGAAAAGGTCAACTATTAAGAAAAGAAATATAAGTTTAGCTAAATTAAATGAAGAATTTTTTTGCTTGTTACTGGAAAGATAAAATGATGCCTCTAAAAAGAAAAAAACACAAAGAAAGATGTGTATCAAACAGATAAGTGACTAACGATAATCATCTAGATTTCATAAGGAACTTCTCTGAGCTGAAAAGTAAAAGACAAGCAACCAAGTTTTTAAAATGCAAAGCACGAGGAAGCATTTCATGGAAAAAACACAAATGGCACAGGAACATGTGACAGGATACTCTTAGTAATCAAGGAAATGCAAAGTAAGACCACAGTGAAATATCATTCTGTACCCACTAAGCTGGCAAAATTAGCGTGAGAGTGAGAGAGGGTAGCAGATGTGGCTCCGTGGAACATGTATGTGACCCTAATATGATGGAAGCAGCATAAGCTGGAAGACACTCTCTGAAAAGCTGCTCAGCACTGTGAAGCTGTTGCAAAGCACTTGCTGCCCCGTATGTGGGGCGATGATGGTTTTCTGCTCTATCACGCCTGGCTCTGATGCCTGAATCTAACCAGCAAAATATGAGTGGAAATGACCTACATCCTTCCCATACATTGGCCAGTGTTTCAAGTAGAAGTGCCTCCTCCCTCTAAATCCCAGAGAGAGATGACAGAGGCAGAGCTGGGGCCAGATGGCTAGAATGTACCTCTGCTGTTCTGTTGTGATCCATGAAGACTTGAGGGTTATTTGTCATTTCTGCATAACCCTGCACACCCCGCTGCTACGGTCAGTCACTCATACAGGCGAGCACCCGCCTGCCCTAACATCTAGCAGTTCTACTTCCAGGAGGCTTTCCCAGAGGCAATCCTGCGCAGGAGGCACGCAGAAGCGCATCCTCTGCGACACTGCTGCCGGTGGTGAGAAGCCCGTACACAACTCAGCGGTACCTGGTAAACAAGCACTGCTAAATTATGCTATGTGGTCTTGGAGAAAGGAATGCACTCAAGCGCAACATGAAGATGTCTTACAAGTATAATTTTCAATTATCAAAGCAATCACAGAAGTCTCCATACAGCACAGTATAATTTTCATAAAGCTGCAAAGCTAAATAATATAGTTTTAAGGTACATAATTGTACAATAAATGATTTTTTTTCAAACAACAGATAGGGGACCAGGGATTTAGTCCAGTGGCTCCATGCCTGTCTCACAAGCACAAGTCCTGAGTTCGATCTCCGGTACGGAAAAAAGACAAGAGATGGGCTCAAAATTCCCAGGAGAGTTGCCTGGGGGTTGGTAGAAGATGAGGAAAGGAAGTTTCATACAGATGGATGCTCTAACCTTGTGTTGGACCCTATAAAGTGTCAGATATTAAATATCTTAGGCTTTGTGGGCTCTACAGCCTCTGCCACAAGGCCTCAACTCCCCCACAGTTGTGCAAAGGCAGCCTTAGACAACGTATAGATAAGTAAATATGCCGTGTGCCCCGAAAACTTTACTTATGGACGCTGAAGTTTGAGTTTCACACCATTCTATGTGCCATGAAATATTCTTTTGATATCTTTAACCACTTTAAAATGTGAAGTCTGCCCAGGTGAACAAAGGCAGATGGCTCTGGACTCTGGCTGGGCTGTGAGTCTATAGGTCCAGTTGTCTGACGGTGCTTTCATGGGTCTTCGTGGGTCACAGGGACAAGGGGAGGACCAGGAGCCTGGCAAAGATGCTGGAACTCTCTCTGAAACTCTTTCCTGACCCCAAACTCAGGGGCTGCCATCATTTCCCCCCTGACAGTGGAGAAGGCCATTATGTTACGTGACAGACCTAGTGTAAAGTACACTACATCACACACACACACACACACACACACACACACACATGCGTGCACCTGGGTTGATTGTGATGGCTTTAGCTATACACTTGGCCAACATAACTGAATTGGCAGCATCATTTTCTTTGGGTTTCAAAGAAACACCCCAAACCTGTTAAGTTGTATCTAGAAAATGCTTTCTCACTGCCAGCTCTGTTCAAAGTGGTACTTTTTTTTTTTTTTTTTTTTTTTTACCTGGGGCCAGGAACCAAGCAACCCCGTGAGCAGAAATTGACGTGTTTGCTGCAAAACATCATTAAACTTGGGTCCTTGCGCACTTGTGAGGCAGGAGGCGGAACCGGTTTGCTTTTTTTTTTTTTTTTTTTTTTTTTGAGACAAGGTCTTGCTATATAATCCAGGCTGGCCTTGAACTCACTATGTAGCCAAGCTGGCCTTGAACTTGTGGCTATTCTCCTGCCTCAGCCTCCTCAGGTGCTGAGATTACAGGCATGGGCCACCACACCTGGCTCAAAGTGGTACTTTTTAAAGGCCAACTCGTTAGCATTAGGAAAAGTTGAGGAAGGTAATTGTGGGTATTATCCGGCAGGGTGTTTTGCGTTTCAGAAGGTCATGATAGTGGGGTCACTCCGAGTTCTCCTTCGTTTCTTTTCGAGAGACCCCCAGCAGCTCTGTGGATTTCCACCTCACAGTACACACTCTCCTTCTTCTTCTTGTGGAAACCTGCAGCTACAAGCGTCTTCCATTTGCGCAGTTTGTACTGGTTTCACAAATGCTAGAAGATAATTTAAAAGATACTTAGATTTTGTTGTCCGTGTTAAACATGTAACATTGGCATTCTGTGAATCAGGCTTGCAGAATATCTGTGAGCAGCAACATTCTTGACTTTAATTACACTTATCCACAAGAGAGGTAAAGACACATTTGAGCTTTTTCTATGGACTGAGATCTTTATCCTTTTACCGACTATTTCACTGGTCTTTGAAAACTTATTTCTTTATTTTCTACAATGACTACAAAAATAATATGCAAGAATTACTATAGCATAACATACCAGCCATATCCCAAGCATAACAGTAGTTTCAATTTATTAACATATGTTTTAGTCTCCAGGTTACTTAGAGATTGGACAGTTTCTCTTGACAGTTCTATGATACCAAGTTTAAAGGTATTCCCACTATTTCCCACTGTCAATTAGCAAAGAATTGCTTTATGCATCCACTTCCTGGTTTTCTCTTACATTAGTATGAAGTATTTGTGTCACTGTTGAGCAACTTTCAGTCCTAAGCAGACATTTCTTTATAGCCTGACAAGGTAAAAGGCCCTATCCCAATTCCACAGACTTGTTACTACAAACAACAACATAACCAGACGATCTCACTGACTCCAAGAACTTAGGATAAATGGTCAAGACTTTCAGAAATATCAAAGGGACATCTTTTGAAATTGTACCAAAGATTTACTGAAAAATGAAGACCTGCTTGAGGGGTGGGAGATCCCATTCTTTTACACATTCTTGCTGCTGAGGAGAAGGGAGACTAGCTAAAGAACCTCAGGGTCCAAGGAATAACATGGTTATGGGTCCTCTGAGTTTTCTTTCTGCTACAGACAGCCCAGCTGGAGAAGCTGACAGCCTAGAAATGCCAACAGGTATAGAACAAGAGCAGACTGAGCAAAGCCTGCTCTCTCCAGCCACAAGACCAGGAAATGGGCAGCCCAGCAAGACCAAAGCTTTTAGACCGAGACACTCAACTCTAGGAAGACAGCATAGAAAAAGCTGCAGCCTCACGTCCAAGCCCATCCTTAAGGGGCAATAGAGCTTAAAACTGCTGCTCCTCCTGAGCTGTACCAGCCTTTTCTCCCTCTTGACTGGGGTGAGGGTCCCAGGAGGGCTGACAGGGAGTCAGACTTCACCAGTGACAGTAGCAATGAGGTCACCCCTTGCAGTGACCAAGGGCCCTTTCTCATCCCAGCTGAGGTGGGGTCAGCCAAGGCCTGGCAACACCAAGAAGCCCCTCCTATTACAGGTCTAGTGAAGAAGCTGGATACCACCCCACCTTGTGACAGTACTTCCTCCACTGGCATGGAGTCAGGGGAAGCCTGAGGAGATAGAAGATGTAAATTAGATCCAGGATCTCATAACTTAATACCCAAAATGCCTGTGTTTCAGTAAAAAGAAATCTCTTTTACTAACGATCAAGAAGATCTCAATTTGAGAGGGGGAAAAAAAAAGACAATCAACAGAAGCCTGTGTGTCTAGGGGACACACATGTTAGGTTGAGCAGCTATCACAAAAATGCTGCAACAAGCAATCAGGAACAGATTTGAAACGAACAAGGACTTAAAAGATACAGGAGCTGGACGTGGTAGCACAGGGCTTGAGAGGCTGAGGTGGGAGGATTTGTTAAGCCCAGGAGTTCAAGACCAATCTGGGCAACATAGTTAAACCTCTCCAACAAACAAATAAACAAACAAAAATAACAAACAAGAGCGGAATGAGCTACTGAAACACAATAACTTGGATTACTGTACAAGAGTATGATCCTGTGTAATAATAAAGCCAAACTCAAAAGGTCATACACTGCATGATTCCATTTATAGAGCACCCCTAAAACGACAATACAGAGAGAGAAAACAGATTGGTGTTAAGGACTGTAGAGGAGAGACTGAGTGTTGGAGCTGATCTTTGCGGTGGTGGCTGACTCTGTGTTTCGATTATGCCAGTGATGGCATGAATACATGTGTGATAGAATGACACACATCTATGCACACGCAATCTGCAGGCTTGATGCTGTACTGTAAGGTAGAATCCCACGAATGGCTCGTGACATTTTTCTGTGCTGTCTTTGTCATTTCCTGTGACTGTAGTTGTTTCAAAATAAGGGTTTTTAAAATGACCTAAAGTTCTTAGAAAATGAATTATAATCCCATGGCAACTCAATAGTTACTCATAAATACTTGAAGATCATCTTATTATGGGGGTCTGCTTGGCTCTGGGAGCCTGCTGTCAGTGACACACTGGAGGTTTACGTGAGAAACGTGGCCTTTGAGAGAAGAATGAAACAGCAAACCGCAGAGGAGGAAGAGATGTTTGCAGCAGACCGAAGAGCTCCCATAAATCAACAAGAAAAGGACAGATGACCCTGCTGGAGAATGCTCAAAAGACTCATCGGGTCCTTCAAAAACAGACGGCTGATCAAATGTAAAAAGGTGTCTAACGTGACTAGAAACCAGAAAACTCAAATTAAAACCACATTGAGACACTACTCTCTGCCCAGAGAGATAAACGTAGTCTGGTGATACCTAGAATGAATGAACAGGGTGTGGAAAAGGAACTCTCTTTTTCGCTGGAGAGGTGTCAGTGGGGTCCAGCTGTCTGCTACGGGCCAAAGTCCATGTTCCTCGTATACCAACAATTTTATTCTTAGGCTAAAAAACCCCCCCAAATAACAAAACAGAAACACATGCTTATGTGTACTGAATTATGTAGACAAAAATATTTAACCAGTCAGGCGTGGTGGTGTCCATCTGTAAGGCCAGCACTCTGAAGGCCAAAGGAGGAGGATCACAAGTTCGAGCCCAGCCTGGGCAACTTAATGACTCAGCAAGACCCTGTCTCAAAATAAATAAAAAGGGCTGGGGACATAGCTCAGTGTGAAGGTCCGGGATTGTCTTCCACTGTCTCAAATCCCCCACCATCACTGTCTCTCGTGAGTCCAAACTGCAGACAGCCCCGTGTCCCCAGAGGTCAGGATGGATAAACAATGACACAGTTATTCCAGGGAAAAGGGCACCGGGATGTATCCACTGAAGACGAACTCAACATCTTAAAGACACAGAATCCAGACAGTAGGCTCCTACCTGTTGAAGCTCATGAGCAGCTTGTGTTGTCAAAACTGAGCTGTTACATAGCAAAACTACACCGAAGAGCAAGGAAGTGGGTACTATAAAAATCTCATGGGGTTAGAGGCCATGGCAGGGACTGCTGTGACCTGAAATGGTTCACAGCGGGTTTCCAGGGAGCCTGTTATGTTCCATTTCTTGACTTCGGTAGAATTTACTTTACAACTGCTGAAGCTATACATGTATGTATGTGTTTCTCTGAATATTTCACAATGTAAAAGGGTCTTACATGGTTTTTAAAGGAAACGTTCAATAAATTACCATAGTTCATATTTAGATTAAGAACTTACTGATGTTTTTCCTCAAATGTTTGGAACAACTCCCAAACAGACACTCCCTAATCTTAGGGTGTTTGGGGTGACAAGGATTACATTTTTGCCCTCAGAATGTTCTTCCTATACATGAGTCCCTCTTACTAAGTCTAGCCTGTTATCACTCATCCTGTCCTCTATGGAGACAAAAATCAAAAACAGGTTGGCCCCATGTATAAATTACAAACTTGATATAAACACTAACAGCTTTGGTTAGTGGGTACGGACTCTGCCAGACACTATATGTAGAGAAATAGTATCTTGTTTGATGAACTCACGAGTGAAATTGATGATTGAAATTTTCTATTTAATCTAGATTGGTGTTATAATAATTCATTTCGTTAGACCCACTTTAAACTCTCTCCCTGTACTCTATGCCTAGGGGATCAGTAAAGCACTCTTCTGGGAGTGTCTGGGTGGTCATGGAGGTGTGGCTTTGGGTGTTACATCTGCTCCCTGGCCCTTCCTCTCTGGCACTGTTCCCCTGCCCTGCTTCCTGACCCATGAACTGAACATCCTTGTCCCACCACACCCGTCCACCATGTTGCTCCCATCTTGGAGCCAGTGGATCATGGACTGAATCTCCTGAAACAGTGAGCCAAATCTAAACTCTCCTCTTTAAGTTTGGGGCGTTGGGCATTGGGTCCCAGTAATGAGAAAGCTGACTAATAGCCCACTGTAAAAGTCTTGTCCTATAAGTGCTCATATCTAGTACTGTTATGCTGGCCTTACGTCGTTTGAACATGTACACGAACTTCTTCCTGCTCCATCTGATAACAGAGCGCTGGCACACGCAGAAGATCAGCAGGAGCAAAGCCATGGCTGACATCAGCACCAGAAGGACGGTGAAGAACCACGGAGAGGGCCCTGCACAGAGGACAAGGAGAGGCATGGAAGGAAGGTGTTTATATGTGATGCTTGGGTTTCTGCTTACAGTGCCAACTCCTAAGCTCAGGACTGACCTGCTAACTTAGTGTAAACTTAGATGACTCTAAAAAAATAAATAATTTCCCCAAAGGCTACCAAAAAATAAGCAGCTTGGGCCTTTCTGGCATACAGAACACATAGGGGTCTTATAACCCCCTTTCCTTGGCATTCATAACAGTGCAGTGTCTGTCAGGACAGTGGCACTGAGCAGCACCTACCAATGGGTGCCTTGGGCGGAATTGCAAACCCCGGAGGAGACATCTGGTCCCTGAAGACAGCGGACACCAAGGAAGGCACCGGGGAGGCACTACTTCGGTCAGGGATGTGGGATGTGTTGACTTGGGCATCCCACACCAGTCGGGCAGCCCTGGGACATTGGCTCTGACATGACAGCAACAAAGCCAGGCCCAGCTCTTCCCAGCAGGGCACGCGGGCAGGGGTAGTACCTGGAGAGAAGCCGGCTGGAACTGGTCCACAGACTACGTCCCTATCCTTGGTCCCATTCACAAGCACAGCCCTTCCGTCCGAAGAGCACCTTGGAGAGCCCGAGGGGAAGGGGTCAAGCAATTAATTTAGGTACAGAGGATTCCAAGAAAGAACTTTGACATTTGTCAGCCAGTGAAGCAGCCTAGTGACAAGACAGGTGGCCAGGCTCACGGGGAAGGTGGCACCGTCACCTGGCTCCCTCCAGCGTGTGAGGACCACGCAGCGCCCTCCACACGCCCAGCCTGTCCCCCTCTTCCCGGGCTGGGGGCCCGTGCGGGGCTCCCCTTGTTCTGCGGCTGCACAGTGCAGACCATTAGGCCTAGTTAGTCCCTCACCCCGCCCCCCAAATTTGGGCTCACATCCCCCCTAACTCTGGCACACGAAGAGGAAGGAACAGGGTTAGAAGCCCAGCCTGGGCATGCGACAGAGCAGGGCATGACCCAGAGCAACACTGGGTGAATCACACAGCTTGCCTCAGCCTCAGGTCTCATCTGCGAAGTAAGGACGGTGTGTGCTTGCAGGGCTGGCAGGCAAAGCCGCTGGATGTGTCCTGGACACACTTCATCCCTGGCACACTCAGTACACCTCACCCCTCATCACCATCACGGTCAGCATTGCTGATGCGCCTTCTCCCTTCCCCTTAACCCATCCGAAATCCACTGCCCTCCAGAGACCAGCTCAGACCAGTTCTCCACACAGATGCAATTGAACAGGCTCATCAATTTGTGTGGAAAGACCTTTAAAAATAGGGGAAAGGGCTAGGACACAGCTCAGTGGTAGAGTACTTGCTTAGGCTGTGCAAGGGCCTGCGTTCAATCCCCAGCAGGGGGCGGGGGAGCGAGGGGAGGGAGGGGGAGGAGAGGGAGGGGAAGAGGGAGGGGGAGAGGGAGGGGGAGAGACAGACAGAGACTCGGTCCCCACCCTGCAGGAGTGGGAAAGCTCCCTTGAGAGCAGTCTTTGACTTTTACACAGTTTAACCCAGAGTCTTTATTCTGTAGGCAAAATGAAAGATACATACTTTGTCCAGGGCCGACACTTGCCGCCTCTCTTATCGTTAAATGTCCCGAACCAGCAGTCTTTACAACCTTGAAGAAAAATTACAGCAGTGACAAAAAATATGCATTTTATCATTTCATAACTATCCTTGTGGGGAGCATAGTAAAGTTTCTAACTTAGTACAACCTGCGCAAATCGATTCTTAAAACAAAACCCTAAGATTGCTAGGTTTTATTCAAATTGTAGATGTCTAAAATGTGGTTGAAATGCATGCTTCTCCATTTGATCCAGCTATTCCCCTTCCAGGTATCTTCCCAAAAGAGTTAAAGGCATCATATTTCAGTGACCCATGCACACCCATTTTTATAGCAGCACATTTCACAAGAGCTAAATCTTGGAAGCAGCTGGTATGTCCATCAACAGATGAATGGATAAAGAAAATGTGGCATTTATACACAATGGAGTACTACTCTGCTATAAAGAAGGATGGACTTAGTCATTTGTAGGAAAATGGATGCATCTTGAGACTATAATGTTAAGTGAAGTAAACCAGACACACAAGCTTAAATATCACATGGTTTCTCTCATATAAGAAACCCAAAATATAAATAAAGAGCAAAATAAACAATAGATAATAGGAAAAAAGCATGGTTTTGACTATTAACACATGTCCCTGATTTCAAATTTATTTCCATTCATGGAAATATCATTTTATTAATTAAAACATATTATAAATTAAAATACGGCATCAGTGCATACTTGATGTTGGCTAGTTACTTGTTCCTTTAAGATTCTACGAGTCATTTGACAGGTCTCCACAACACACGTGGGCCAGACGGCAGAGGAGCAAACCCACCGTTCTCTGTGAGTTCTTGACCCTGAGCACAATCCGGGTAACAAGAGGGGCACCCTGGCCCCGAGCAGCGGAGCCCCGGGGCACACTCGCACTCAGCATTGCTGGTCCGGGAGCAAGGCTGCTTGGTCCTGAAGATGCCTGCAAAGCCCCAAGACGGCCTGTGTTAGATTCCAGTTCACCTCACGTCTGGGAAGCAGATCTATGCTCAGCAGCAAAACTCCTGCTATCCGTGCAGCCCGTTCACAACAACTCCAGAGTACAATGCTTCATTTTAAATCTCCATGAAGACACTTCGCTAATGAATCTGCCCTGTCTTATCAAGTGAGTATCTCCTCTAATATTTAAAAAGCTTTACCACAGCAATTGCTATTGCGTTAAGCAATTCTACCAGGCTTGCCCATGGGCAGAGGAAGCGACATCGTTGACATTGTTGATGCTTAAGATTATCAGCAGAGATCAATCAGGAAAGAGGGAATAAAAGCTCCTCTTCCAGCAATCCTCCAGGTGAAGAACACATCTTTCAAGCCCTACCTTCACATTTTCTGCAGACATTACAAACCGCCTGTCCACCCGTGCTGGAGTAACTATTTAGGGGGCAGAGAATACAGGTCTGATCCTTATTTTTCCTGCAGAAAGTACCTAAGAGAGGCAGATAACAGACGTGCATGTTTGACAATAAGCACTCATCACTCAAAGCATTATGATGTTTACAAGCAAATGATAAAAGCAAGATCCATTTTCAAGATGTCACAGTGACAGACATTATTTTGTTGATTGACTTTTTAAAGTTATGCATTGGCAAGATTGCCCTTAACATAATCACAGAATTAGAGATAACAAAATACAAATATTGTAGAGCAAAGAAATCGAGAGAAAGAAGACACTCTCCTTCTTCTGTTGAAAAAGACAGAAGTTTCTCCTAATTGACCTGGTAGGTGGATAGGACTCATCCAGGGAAGACTGCATCCCTCACTGGTGCACTGAGGTTTGTGCTCCTGACTCCTCACCGGGTTAAACTGGCTGCCACCTGCCTATGCCCTGCTGCACCCCTGGGCTTAACATAGGGCTAACTGTAACATTTCCTGGGTCTTGCCATGTGTGGTGTACTGATCTAAGCCTGCCGTGGGATCCTTCCTGCCAATCTAGATTCTATGAGACAGGTTCTCTGATTATTCCCCAGGTGACAAAGTTGAGGCCCAGAGGATGAATGACCGGGCTGTGTTCACACAGCTAGTTTGTGGCATCCACTAAGCATGTGCAAGTGAATGAATCAAAGACCAGGAAAAGGGAGCTAGCAGCCAGGGGCAGAGGCCCATGCCTGTAATCCTAGCATTCTGGGAGGCTGAGGCAGGGGGTTCCCAAGTTGGAGCCCAACTGGGCAAGGTAGCAACTTAAATTACTAAAAATAAAAATAAAAGGGCTGGGGGTGTAGCTCAGTGCAAAGCCCCTGGCTTCAATGCCCAGTACCAAAAAAGGAGCAAACCCTCAGCAAGGTCATAGCACATGTAACCTGGAACTTACCAGCGGGACAGTTGTGGCAGGAATCCAGCACTGACCTTGTCCTCTCAAAATTCGCGACCAGCAGCACAGCCGCCACGGTGCTGTAAAAGCTGTTTCCCATGATGAGATCTTGCATGGGTCGGACACCACCAACATGGACCCCAGGAGAACTGTAACCAAAGGAGTGGCCTCGCAAGTGTCACGCTGCAGAATGCAAAAGTGTCCAGAATTATCTACGTGGCAATCATTACTCACACAATCCCACAGGAGCATTTTCAGGCGGAATTAGTAATGGAACAGTATGGGAAAGTAGCAAGTTTGTAGACACTTCTACGACAAGGCAGGCGTGACTGAACACACAGCTCCGTTCCTGTCTGCCCAAGTCTAAGGGTGGTGTTTCCAACATCTCTGCAAACAAATGCAACACTAACAACAGTGAGAACTTCTGGGGACTTTCACAGACATTTAGCGTCAGCACTCAGATGTCATCAATGCTAGCGCCCCACAGAGGCCACTGCTCCCTGTGACCGAGCATCTAACTGCCAACACCACGAGGAAGACCTCTCTGCGACCATGTTTCCTTAGACTTCCTTAAAGACTTGCCTCTTTTGAGATTTGAAAATCTAAAAATGCATCTTTTTTAAAAAAGCAATCTGTATATAAACAGCTGTTGAAGAGAAGTTAGTGCTGATCAGAAGAGTAGAAAGTCTAGAAATGTGTAACAAGACCAAAGGCTCCCAAGTCCCGTGCCCCCAGCTCGAGTCCCCAGGGCACAAACCTTGCAGTCTCAGAGCTGCAGAGCGCTTTCCACCGGCGGAGGCTGGGACAGCTCACAGTGAGCTCCCAGCCAGCGTGGGGCTGCAGGTCAGCCTGGGGGCTGTGACTCAGCCAGGGCAGGGCTTCGTGGGAAGTCCCCACACCCACGAGGCAGATCTGACCCTAAAATTGCCTTTTCAAAAAATTAAAATAGAGTCCATTTTAAAATGTGCAATTCAATTGAGGCCATCCTCTTAAGTGAAATAAATAGGACACACATGTAAATACTGAATAGTCTCTCTGGTGTGAAAAACTAAAAGTGTAAATAAGGATCAAACTGTATAATTGATATTGTGTAATAGGAAGAAAAGATCTAAAGGAGTAGGGGAAGTGGGAGGGGAAGGGGAAAGGAAAGAAGGAAAAGGAAAAATATGAGAAAAGGAAAAAATGGAAACAAAGTCTTTGTAAATACAGAAGGGTGGGGGGGGGGTGAAGGGAGGGCAGGGGAATGGGGAAAAAATAAGAACCAAGATACATCATGTACAGGTACAAGATCCCAATGATGAATGTAACTATTCTATACCTAAAATGGACCAATGAACTCCATGGGAAAATTAAAATAAAGTGTGCAATTCAGCAGCTTTTAGTGTATTTGCTACATTATACAACTTCTGACTGCTTCTTGGAAACAGCTCTCTCCTGTTGGGAAAAGGGTTTGGCCCTTCAGTAGCTCTCCACGTCAAAGCTTTTAGTGTGTCCTTAAAATATTTGAGATGCAAAGGATGAAACCACTTCTCAATAAAGACCAGTGTTTTTGCCCCTTGCTGTCTCCTAACTCCAAAGATCCCTATGCGCAGTCGATGTGCCAGGCACCAGGCGCCTCAGTGACACCCTGTGACCATCCAGCGCCTCCCAGGGCTTGGTCTTTCTGCGTTTCAGTGGAGGTTACTGTCCCGGACCTGCAGGACAGGGACCCCGGGTCCAACCGGGACGGCCTCTCTCCCATCTCCTGTGCGCTTCTGCAGTGGGTTGGGGAAGGAGGAGGGGGAAGTAATCCCAGGTAAAGTGGGGACTGGAGCAGGAGTCTTAGAAAACCAGGATCTTAGATTTAAAAGAAGAAGAAAAAAGGAAGAACAGGAAGTGGAGAGCAAGGAGCTGTGAGAAGAGGAAAAGGAAGATGACAGGAAGGAGAAAGAGGAGGACAGGAAGGAGGAGGAGAGGATGGTCGGGGGGCCTCTATTCGGAGCCTGTCCCTCCCCGAATGTCCGGGGACCCCAGCAGGATGACCAGGAGCTCTCTGGGAGCAGGGAGGTCACAGCAAGGGTGGCGGGACTTCCACAGACCTGGCTTCATCAGGCTCAAACAGGAAAGAATGATTTTTCTACTGGAGTGTGAGGTGGACGCGGAGTGAGAAGCGATGGAGGAGCTGCATTTATCAAGGATTTGTGTTGCACCGGGTGCTTCAGTTTACAGGACCCAAGATGTGCCGCAATCCTCCATAGGAACCCTCAGCGGCTCCCTGCTGTCCTGGACCCTCCAGCCCAGGACTCAAAGAGTGCGAAGAGTTGACCCTAAAGTTGCCTTTTCAAAAAATTAAAATACAGACCACTTTAAAGTGTACAATTCAGTGGGTTTTAGTACATTCACTACATTATGCAACCACCACCGCTCTCTAATCACAGAAAGTTTCCATTCATCAAAAAGAAATCCCATACCCACGTCAGTCAACCCAGGCACCTACAAACCTTTTCCTTTTCTCTGAATTTGCCTACTCTGGATATTAAAGAAAAATGCAATCATTTGATCATATTAACGTTGCCCACAAGTGGGATTTTTCACTTGGCATAATGTTTTCAAGGTCTGTTCATGTGGCCCAAAGTACTTCATTCCTTTTCAAGCCTGAATAATACTCCATTGTATGGCTGTAGCACGTTTTCTTTATCAGTTCATCTCTTAATGGACTCTTGGGCTGTTTCTTCTTTGGCCCCTTATGAATACTGAGCCAATGTGCAATTTTCTGTGTGGATCTGTGATTTTGGCTCTCTTGGGTGCACACCTAGCAGTGAAGCTGCATCTTTCCGTAGCTGTCTGTGGCTTCTGAGGGAGCCATTATTTATTTTCCACAGCTGCTGTGACTCTTCCCATTTCCAGCAATGAATGGCACTTTCAATGTCCCTGCTGACATTTGCAATTTTTCCGTTTATAAAAACATTATTGTTGTCCTATTAGGTGTGAAGTGCTATCACAGTGTGGTTTAGATTTGCTTCTCTTATCACAGTTTCATCACACACACGCACTTACACACACATGTTTACACACACACATTTATGGGTGTGCGACCTCGGGCAGATTTCTTAACCTCCTAAAGTCTCCATATGTGGTGGGGACAGGAAGTAACAGTGCACGTTAATTTCCTTCAGTGAGGATTAAATCAAACCATACTGTGCTTAACTCAATGCCTGGCATGGAACTTGCAAGAAAATAGCAACTAGGTGTGTGTGATGCCACACGCCCATCATCCCAGCACTCTGGGAGGCTGAGGCAGGAGAATCACAGGTTCAAACCCAGCCTGAGCAACTTAGTGGTTTAGCAAGACCTTGTCTCAGAGTAAAAAATATAAAGAACTGGGTTCGATATCCAGTACCGAAAAGGAAAGAATAACTGTTATGAGACATTGTTTTGAAATATTCCTTCCCCAACCCCCCACTCTAATCATCAGTAAAACAACCACAGGGCAGGCAGCCAGAGAGGGGAAGAGGTTCACGGTTTGTCTACACAGTGCTCCCAAGTCCCGAGAGCCCAGTGACATTTGTGAGCTCACTCTGACATGACTGGCAGAACTGGCTGCACGTAGGAGCAACGTACCCTAAAAGTCAGAGGGCTGGTCAGCTCCTAGTGCTTGGCAAGTCACATCTAAGCAAGTGCCTCATTTAGACACGTCCTCTATGCTTAACTGCGAAGCGTGACATTTAGCTGGGCTTGATTCTCGTGTAACTCAGTGCTACCTACTCGCTAGGTTTGGGGTCGTCCGTGGGCAGAGCTACACAGGAAGTCCCCTGAGGTGACATTCTTCCTTCCCAGCACAACCATTAGCTCACTGCTCGGAGCTTTTATGCCATTGACATGGGAGTCTTCTGCAAGCAAAAAGTCCTCAAGATTGGCGTTATCATCCTGCAGTTAAACCAAACTAACCACTTCAGAATTACTCCACTGAAGGCTCTGCTCAGCTTTGTCCTTATCACTGCAGCTCTGGGGGATAAAATCAGCAGAGCAAGCTAAGGATATGGGCACCAGCTAAGCTAGCAGGCGGCATAACACTCTTTTAGTGATTTTTATTTAAGATGTGCATATCACTTTTAGCCTTCTAGTCTTCTAAGTGCAACCCCGAAATATCATAAAACCTTCCCAGACTAAGTCACAGATGCCTGCAACAGGGCACCAACACTTCAGCAGTACTAAAAACACTCCTTTGTCACATTCTAGGTCTCTCAGGCAAAGCCAAAGAACAGTTTTTGTCCGATTTCCATTGACTATGGGTCCAACAGTGGATATCTCAAGTGAGTAAGACTGTGAGTCTCAACAGCACGGAGCCTCGACTGCTCTAAACAAGACAAGGATATTTGCAAAGAGAGAGAAAAGGCTGGGGTATGGCATGGTGGTAGAGCGCCTGTCCAGCATGTGTGGGGCACTGGGTTCCATCCGGGAGCTGCCAAACAAACAAATGAATGAGGAGGGAGAGGGAGGGAAGAGAAGCGGAGTCACTCCGAGGAAGCTTGCTGTACAATACCCTTCCGACTCCCGGGTCATGTCCTAGAGGAGGCAAAGCGTTTCCATAGGCCAGGGTGTCGTGGGTTCCTGCACGTCCTACTCAGGCCAGGATGCTGTGGAAAGCAGAGCCCCCAGGAGCCCCAAAGTCCGTGCCATCCTCTGATTGACATTTGTGGCTGCAGGAGGCCCCATGAGCCATGGACTTCGAGACAGTTGCACACAAATTTCGGAATACTGCACTATTAAGCGATTCACATTGTCCACCCTCCCGAATACTCTTGGATGTGACACACAGCATAAGAACCACAGTCCTCGTTGGGGGGGGGGGGTGCAGGCCTGTAATCTGCGAGTCCAGTCTGGAAGGCCGAGGCAGGAGGATTGAAAGTTTGAGCCTCGCCTGGGCAGCCTAATCGCCTTAGGGAGACCCTGTCTCAAAAGAAAAAGTTACAAAGGGCTGAGGATGTGGCTCACTGCTGAGGGACTGAGTTCAATGTCTAGCACTGCAAAAAGCAAACCCATCTCAACAAAACAACAAACCAAATGAACAAAAAATACTGATGCTTCACTAGAATGGGGACAGAGGGCAGTTTAAATGAGCAAGATTCAGTATGTATAGAACCAATTCCCCAAGATGAATGTAATTCTTCTGTATCACAAATAGATAAAATAGAATCACCTAGAATGACATTGAACCCACAGAATTTCAAATAATTTTAATTTTTATAAAAGTAATACAATTTAAGTAAGTTTCAGAAAAATTAAAAATCTCACATTATTTAAATATTTGATATTTAGCCATTACAATTTATATTTTTAATTTTAGTTGATACTTTTGAAACCTTTAGGTACTGCAAACTTGTGCTCATAAAAATAAGAATCTGAAAAATCTTTCTAAAAATAAACATGAGGCCAGGTGTGGTGGTGCACGCCTATAATCCCAGCACCCGGGAGGCTGAGGCAGGAGGATCACCACATGCTCGAGGCTAGCCTGGGCTACATAGTGAATTCAGGGGCTGCCTGACCTACAACGCAAGACCCCGCCTCAAAAAAAAAAAAAATAGGGCCAGGGATGTAGCTCAGTGGTTCTGCTGCCTGCCTCGCAAGCACAAGGTCCTGAATTCAATCCCCAGTACCAAAAAAAGAAAAAAAAGGAAAAAAAATTTTTAAAAATACATGAAAAAAAATTTTTAACTTAGAAATTCTACATTCTTAAATTCACATTTTAGATTAAATACAGTACCTACAAATTCTATATTTGTGGGGTCTGATTATCTTTTATCATTTAATTCTTCAGGTCATTACTCTCACCAACACACAAATTATGTGAAACTCTCTATTTT